CATATATATATATTTATATATGTATAAATGGCATAAAGAAATATTTCTATTTCTTAATGAAGAAGATGAATATTATTTTATATTCGGACCCTATTTTCTTAATTTTTATCTATCTGATATTTTGATTTTTTTTTTAGGGGAATAAAAATTGATTTCTTCCGATATTGGTATATTTTTATCTTCGAAAGAACTTAATTATTACGAAAACTACTTGGAAATTAATAAAATCGATATTTGATAAAGATATCTCTAATATTTGAGCTATCGGCTTTGAGTTTGTGAGCAATCGTTCGCTACCAATTGAATTATAGATTCTATTACAAATATAAATATTCATTTTCTTTTTTTATATATAGATTTGCCTTCTCNNCCCCCCCCCCCCTCCCAGACCTCCAAAAATATTTTAATAAAATTAAGAAAAATAAATATTCATTTCCTTAGCATCTTTTACCATATAGATTTCCTCCCCTAGACCCTTAATACTCCAAATCCATCCTATAATAAAACTAAGAAAATATGAATACTCATTATCTTAGAGCCCTTTTTCGCATAGATTTACGCCTACCCCCCGACCCCCAACATGCCAAAGCGATCCTTCAAAAAAATCATATTTATTATCTAATTATCCGTCTCAATAGAGATTTAATTTTTTTTGAATTGCATCAAAATTTGCAAATTCAATTAAGAAAATAAATATTCATTTTCTTAAAGTAATTAAATTTAATCAACTTCATCCCTCAAACTAAACCCAATCAGAAACACAATAAATAAAATAAATATTCGGTTCCTCTTACAAATACTTACTACGAAAATAATCATATATTAAATTTCTAACCATAGAAGAATAAATTAAGAAAATAAATGACTTCTAACTTCCATAATTTATTTTATTACCCAAGATTTACACTATAATTTTCAATAAATAAGAGTTTCCAATAAAAACTCATAAGATAAAAAATAATCTCACTATAAATCGATCACTTATTTGCTACTTTGGTAATATATATTTTCATTTATATTTTAATTTATATCTTTATCTTCAAGAAAAAAGTATATTATCAAAATCAAGAGTTTCATAAATATAATTTCCATTATTTTTCTCTAGAAGACAATAGATATCGAAATTCATCAAAAATATATTTCATAACGTCATATCATTTATTCTAAGTCAGAAATATATCATCGATATCGATTATATATATATATATATCATAATCATCAAGTTTTTCAATATATATATATGTGTTTCTTTATTGTATTTCTTATATCTAGGACAATATTATCCATTCAAGCTTTAGTGATTTCTCGTATCTTTTTTACGAAAAGTTGTTGTCATTTTTTAGTTCTAGAAGGATCTCCTTTCGAAAGATACTCATTTTTTGTTTCAAAAATCTGTACATATGGGTGCCATATGAATCTCCTTGGGCAAGCCATTTATCGTTCTATACGGCAAATCCAATCAATATGTTTATTGCCGCCCTGCCCGCTTGGTTCCCAAACTAAATTAACGACATTTCGCTTTCCGAAGCAGCCTGCATGTTTATCCACCGAACTGCATGTCAACAGCATCTCCGCTCAGCTCACTGCAATCTGCATCAAGCCTCAGTGATGCCAAGGGAGTCTGATGGCTTGGCAAACCCGTCAAAGGGTGACCATCTCTATCTACATATTATATTTTCATCTTGTTTCGTATACACATAACACACATGTGTAGAAATATCGGCTGCTCCGACTTGGCTGCAGCAAATCATTACCCACTGCAGTTGGGCAAGTGGTAGTTACAACACTCCGTATAAAACCCGGCTTGCGCAACGAACGGAATCTTCTTGGAAAAGCCTTCTCATGCTGACCCGGTCACGCTAAAATTCCTTGCGAGCCGGAGACCTGGACTGTGGTGGGCCCAGCGTAGGGTCTGTTTGTCCCAATGTAAACATCGTAGCGGCCTGCCTTTGGCACTTCGTTTGACGGGTCCATCACATGCAAGGTAGTTCCTTGAGAGCAGCGGCTGCGCTGCCAGAAAACGCGGTAGGGCCGTCCCAGTACAGCAGCGGCACTTCGCATGTCACCTTCAGCTAGGAGTTGTCGCACAAGGGAAGAGCTGAACTTCACGTCCTTCGACGTCGATGTTTCCAGCGGCACCACTTTGACCACAACTCCTCTTTCGTTGGCGAGGGTTCGAAGCATGTCTGCATCACCTCTCGCCTTGAAGCCGAAGCGAAAGTCTGCGCCACAGATTACGGCAGATGCGCCCAACCTATCAACGAGCAGGTCTACAAAGTCTGGAGGGCTGAGCTTCTGGACCTGGGCAAACGGCAGCACACGCTCTTGGGCACCGAAGGATCTCAATACGTCTGACCGATGCTCAGGTGCCACAAGAGGTTTGCGGGGCTGCCAGCCCAAAACTTCCGCCATGCCCGAGAATGAAATCATCCAGGGCTCGAATCCCATTTCTCGAGCTGCTTGCGCTAAAGCTTGGTGGCCCAGGTGCAGAGCGTCAAACTTTCCCAGGCAGGTCCCGGCCTTTGGCGGTAGCGGAGAGAAAGGATCCGAATGATCCAGGGCTCGCCTTGCTTCCCGGATGATGTTGGCCTCTGCATGAGCTGCATCTGGGATGGGTCCTCTCCACCTCACGGGCCCCAAGCACCCGAGAGCTCTTGGAGAAGAGTATCGAAAGACAAAGCCACACCCGGTTCTGTGCCACAACATCAGGCCGGATATGAGACACACCAAGACTCCAGAGCAAGCATCGAATGGGCTACCTTCTCGCCTGCGATGCGCGATTGTTGTTGCATCTTTCAGCCCCGCGACCGGCATGGATCATGCTCGTGACATCGGCAGGATGTCGTGAAGCTCAAGCCAAGTGGCAACTTTCACAGTGTTGGAAACGCATGGGCACTTGGTCCAATCGCACGGCGACATGCATGCGGTTTATTCGTGGTCCCGTTTCAGAATGGCATGAACCTTCCAAGCAACAGAACCCTCAGGGAGAGTGCCCCTCGAATCATGGAACAGAAATGTCTTAATCCTACAAGGGCCAAAGATGGTCAAAGCACTTGAAGGATGCTGCAGCTTCCGCTTCCTTCCATGGTGCTCCGATGGAACCGAGCTGTCCGACTCTTTGACACGCACACTCGCTCAAGGCTTCAGGCGACGGGTCTCACACGTGCTACGGCGACATGCAGGACTACGATGGCAGCAACAGGATATAACGGAAGATCCATCTTGCAACTAAGAACCTAAGAACCAAAGAACATCATAGCCATAAAATGCCCAATAACAAGACAAGCACACTCCTGCATGTCGGTGACATGAGCTTGGAGAGCACAAGCCACTGATTAAGCTTCAGCTCAGCATTCGCACCGAAGAGCTAGAGGAAGCGGAACTGTGATGGCTCCAGCTGAGGCGAAGCTTTTTTCTGGTGCCCTCTTTGGAGGAGGGCTCAGCGACTGGGGGGCCCTTGAGCTCCTGTTGCACCTGCCACCTCACCTTGTCGATGGCTTCGATGACTGTAGGATCTGATCCCTCCAGCTCCTTCAGGGCTTGAGCGCGCGATTGCCACACCGAAGCATTCGGAGGCAACAGCCACATGGTGATAGTACTTGGATAGGCTCGGCCTTTCACGTGCCAGCCCGCTCCAGGCCCAGAATCGATGTATCTGATCTTTACTGCACTCTTGCTTGTCTTGCCCTGGGGTGCAGAAACTTCAAGCTTTTGCTTTTGAGCTGCCTTTTGTGCCGCACTCCTTTTCTCGTCGGCTGCCCGCTCCGCCGCCTTCTTCTTCACTTCGGCTGCCCTCTCCGCTGCTTTCTGTGCCGCATTCCTCTTCACTTCGGCTGCCTTGGATGCTGTAACCTGCTTTGCAGCTGCCTTTTCCTTTCGAGCAAGAGCTGCGGCTGCAGATGCCTTTGCTGCCTGCAAGGCATTCATCTGGCGCCCTGATGCGCTCTCGCACTTGTCTGGAACTACCAGCTTTGCAGAAATCCTGCTCGTGAACTCGAGGACCTTTGCCTTGAAAGCAGCCTCCACCGCACGGTAGGCTTCCACAATTTGCCAGGCCGGGGTCGTCTCCTTGAGGTCCTTGATCTCTGGCTCAGGCACGGGCTTCTCTTTCCGCATAGCGGCCTCGAGTTCCTTGAAGATCGCCATCCGCTCGGCCCTCTTCTCTGGCGTGAGGCTCAGGGTGAAGCTTTTGCTGCCAAGCACGCCTTTCGTTGGCGATTCGGACTCGAAGGGACAGTTGCGACCTTTGTGGCACGGGTTGCCACATTTGTCACAGGTCTCCAAGCTCCTCATCAGGAACTCCACGGAGGGCATCTTTACCGTCCTTCCAACCATGGCTTTGCCAATCTCCTTCTGATTGTTCTTGACATGGTGCTGCCAAATGCGACGGAATTCCTGCGGCCAAAGCTTCTCCGCTGTTCGCTCCAAGCGTGCCCTCCAGTGACTGATCTCCTCGGCCACTCGTTGCTGCTGATGCTGCACTTTGTACTCCTGCATCCGGCGCTGCGCCTCTTCATCCATCTTGCGCTTCTTCACCGCGGCCAAGTTTCGCTTCTCCTCCAGGGCAGCCTTCTTCTCTGCATCCTGCTGAACGGCAAGGTCTTCCGCTCGCATCTTGAGCCGCTTCTGCTGCTCCTCCAAGGTTCGGCAGCTGTTGCACTTGAAGAAGGCCATCTTGGCAGACGTCACATTCCATCCCCGCTTCTTCATCTCATCCCAGAACCTGTCCGGCGGATAGACCCTGCGGAAGTCTGGCGGAAAGCAGTCGTAGCAAAGGGCGGTGGGACACTCAAGGCAGTGGATCAGCATCCCTCCAACTTGGTTGGCGCTGCGGCTGCAGGAGCTGCAGTAGTGCCACGGGCAAGTCCACTTTTTTGGAGTGTGCCCGACGCATTGCACATGATGCGACATCGGGCAACATGCGCACTCCTGCAACGGCCTTTCGTCCTTGACGCCGCAGGTGAAGCACTTCGGGATGTGCTTCAGCTTGATCACATCGGTCTTCTTTCGTGTCTTCATCGGCGCAGTGCAAAACTCCTCGGCGAAGGTGAGCTTGCGCGTCACGACTCGACCGGAGCCGGACCTCATCACATCATCTGGAACCGGAGGAGGCGCTGCCTCCGCGGGTCTCTTCGGCGGCCGCAATGGGGAGCGATCCTTCACCTCTGGCATTGGGGCCCGCTTGCGATCGAAGTACTCCTCCAGGTCAAAGCTGAAGGTCTCACCCTCAAAGACCTTGAAGGCTGACTCTCCATTGTTCAGGATGCTCATGATCTCCTCTGCATCGAGCGGCTCTTCGGGGTCCTCTTTTTCATCATCCTCCTCAACCCTGTCGCCGATGATGTTCTTTTCCATCTCGAGCTTCGCGTTCGAGCGGATCAAAAGGCGCTCCTCCACTGCCCACTCCAGAATCGGGCGATGGATGTGGACCTGTCTCGACTGACCGATGCGGTGCGCGCGATCAATCGCCTGGTGGTCCACGTGCGGATTCCAGTCCTGCTCAAAGATGATGACATGATTAGCCGAGGCCAGGTTGACCCCCAAGCCGCCGGCTCGCGTGCTGATTAAGTAGATGAAGACGTCCTCATCTAAAGCATTGAAGTCGCGCATGTCCAGCTCCCGCAGCACACGGTTTGTTGATCCATCCATGCGCATGTAGCGGTAGCCCCTGAACTTGCAGTATTCCTCCAGGAAATCCATGTTCACCTGGTGCTGGCAGAAAATCAGCGCCTTGTGCGGCTGCGGAGTGTCCCAATCAACGTCCTCCATTCCATCGAGGAAGCCGGCGTGCTCCTTGCCACCCTCGAGCTGCATCCGGTGGTACTTCATGTCATCCAGAAACAGCGGGCCGGAAGCATTCTTCAGCCAAGCCGAGGCAGACTTCTTCTTCGCATCCTTCTGCTTGGTGCGTGCCTCAAAGGTCTTGCGCCAATTGTCGTTGAGGCCCATGTTTTGTGCATGGAGGTGCGTGAGCAGTGCGTCCACGAACGCGAGCTTGTAGCTCTCGCCTATGACCTCTTCACTCACCAGAGGGCCGTCTTTGAGCTGGTCGATCTCGTCTTGGGAGCAGACGCCCATAGACAGCAGGAACTCCTCATCTTCCTTGGACGCCACCGCCAGACGCGGGTGGATGCAAACGTTTCGAAGTCGAAGGATCAGCTTCTTGAGGCTCCGAATATCTCTGGACATCTGCGTGTTCTTGAGAGACAGGATGCGGCGATACCACTGCACCTGGAGTGGAGACATTGGCAGCCACACGTCGTGGAAAATCTTGGGCGGTAGCGACAGCACGTCCTCCTTCTTGCGCCGCTTCATGCTCAGAGCAAGCAGCCCACGGATCTTGTCGACCATAACCTGGTTGATGCAAGCTTTGGAGTTCGGGTCGGCCTTCCCCGCCAGCTCGGGCAGCTGGATGGCATTCTCAAACATCTCGGACTGCTTTGCCAGCACGTCCGGCCAAAGGAACTTGAGCAGAGCATGGAGCTCTTTCAAGCTGTTCTGGAGAGGCGTGCCCGTCAACAGAATTCGGCACGCGCTGTGTGTCTCTTCCAAGGCCTCCCGGATTCGGCTGGCAGAGTTCTTTGCACGATGCGCCTCGTCCAAGATCACGGCCTTCCAGAACATCCGCCCGAAGTAGTTCTCTATGTTTGCCACTGTCTCGTAGGTCGTGACGATGATGTCCTTCATCCCGAACCAAATCTCGTTGTCGTCCAAACTTAGAGACTTCTCTTTGCTGTTTCCGCAGACCTTTGCGATCGAGAGGTGTGGAACGAACTTCCTCGCTTCGCGCAGCCAATTCCCAGCGCAGCTCAAGGGCACAACCACTAGGGCCGGCCCCGGAATTTGCTCCTTCACCTTGAGATAGCTCAGGAAGCACAAAGTCATCAGCGTCTTCCCGAGGCCCATGTCGTCGGCGAGGATGCCACCACAGCGGTCGAAAAAACCTTGGATCATCCAGCCGACGCCCTCCGCTTGGTATTTCTTGAGTCGGATGCCCTCTGCGAGCACGTCTTTGTACATCTCGGGCGTGTGGCTTTGCGGGTCGAGCGTCCGAACGTCTGGCACTGCTGAGACAGACCCATCACTGTCATCGTCCAGAATCTGTGGCATCCTTACTCTCGAAGCCTTCGCCTCCGAGTTCTGAATTCGCCGGAGCGCGGGTCTTGAAGCGAAGGGCGCGACATCGTCAATCGCCTTGAGGAAAGTTCGGTCTCGGTTGCGCACACTCGCCGAAGCAATCCTCTTGCATTCTCTCTGTTGCTTCATCATCAGGTCTTCCATCTGTTCCTCTGCGAGCTGTGGTTTTTTGTAACCCCGGAGAAGCACCTCTGGCCCGTGGACACATACAGGACACACCCAGCGGTCCTGAATCCCTAGTGTTTGAAGATCCACGAACTTTTCGATGCATGCCACGTGGAAGGCCCTGGTGCAGTTCTCGCAGAACAACACACGACCATCCTTCTGGCAGACCTCGCAGAAGCCGTTGTGGAACTCTTTGGCCTCGTTGGCTTCTGTGACCGCCTCCTCCATAGCCATGGCCGCAGACTGGCAGGGCTAGCTCATGGGTTCTGATCGAAACTTCAAAGATGTGCCACAGCACTAGCTACGTACCACGCTGAAGCTTTGAAAAACCTTCGTGCATAATTTCTTGCACCTGTGAAGACGTACTGCCCGAAGCTTGAACAGAAATGGCTTCGTTATGCCCGATTGCATTATGGAGCTGCAGGTTGCACCACGGCCAACAATGACGATGCATCCTGCACGGTTCTGAGTTTCGACGCGCGCGCTCGCACCAGGCAGGCAAGGCTTCACGATGCCTGGTTCAACTCACACTTACTTCGACTGGGACTTTAACCTAACCCAGTACCGCGGTAAAGGTGGGTTTGTGGATGTTGGGGCCACATAAACTCTCGAAACCGTCTTGCATACTCGCCAAGTCCACACATTACCGATCTGTTTCAAGACCACCTTTACGGCCGGCAACCGACGGTCTAAACGGCTATCCCTACCTCGTGCAAGCAGTTTCGCTCTCTCTCTACAACCTCCTTTACCTTTGCATGCGGTGTCAGGCTGTCGGCTCCCACTGGTGGGGCACTACCTGTACTCCTGAAAAATGGAAGTGAAACCTCTCCCTGCCTCAGGCAGTGGAGCTCTACAGAAGCGAACGCGAATCCGCGTGCATACACACAACGACCTGGTCCACCCGGACACCTGTTCTGAATCCTTGTGATCAATGTCTAAATCTGACTGAAGCCGACAGGTTGTCTCAGCTGAGACCCAGATCAAGATATGCCTGCCATGAAAAGACTCGAAGGTCCAACACGTCATCGGTCTCCTGAGCTCTCGCGGTCTATTTTCGGCAGAGGCTGCAATTTCGAAACACCTCCGACATTCACCAACCTATAGCGCCACTATGGCATCTGGTTAAGGTACACGGCCGTGCTGAGTGTCTACAACCAACCTTCACCTGACATCGACGCCACCCAGCTTGCTCAACCCCTTTGCCGAAAGCCTGCTCACCCAAAGAACTCAAATCGGCCGTGCTGCGATAATCTTCATGAGGTCTTGGCCTGACCCGGAGCTGCCATTCACAGCTATGATGCGGTCGGACTTCTTCACCTCCAGCTGTGGGCAGAGCAAAACCAAAACCAACAGGCGCTCCGTCAAGACTGTTGGTACAAGATGTCTCGAGGTTTCCCCAAACACTTGTTCATTGCCAGCTGTAAGAAGCGGTCAGCACAAGATCATCCCGAAACCCGTGAGCCCTCAATCCCAATTCCTAAACGCTATACCCTATCCCAGGGTGGGACAGCTTCTGCATCACAGTGGCCGTCGTTGTCGGCGAGGCCGCTTTGTTCCAGGTGCGTATTAGGCCGTGTTGCACCTCCACGATCATCGCCTGGCGATATGTTATTACATAACCCAATATTACCTACACCGGTCCAACCTAAAAGAGTACAATATGATATGCTATGACATAGATATGCCAGAATATAACACAATACTATAAAAAAACCGCACGGAATACAGTATCATATGATATGACCTTATGTAATGCAATATAGTTATTATGATGTAGCTGATAGCTGGCTGATAGCACATCTCTCAAATTCTTGAGTTTGCTTCTCAGAGCTTGTCTCTAGTAGCATCTGACTTGTACCGGGCCAAGATGCATCACTTTCTGTCGGGCGCAGCACGAGTCCCAGTGGCTCATCCTCTGACTTTCCTCAGCTCAGGTGAAGGATGGGCCAGGTCGCAACCAGGGATCTAAATCTGAGCTGCAGAAGCCCGACTCAATGGAGGTCTTTCCGACATCGAAATCGAATATCTCTTATTCGGGCTCCAAAAAAGACTCCTGATTTCCGGAGGGAACCTATAATGATCTGCACATGCAAGAGTCGAACCTGCGATGAACTTGGCCAAGGTTCGAAGGGCAATGCGCAACACCAGCGGCCGTTCAAAGGTCAGATTGACTGCAGTTGATCGAGTCATCCTCAACTGATATTCACGGCACTGCTTGGCAGAATTGCAAGTAAAATCCCCTAACTTGAACGTCACCAATCAGGCATGACCCGTGCTTTGCTGAACATGCTCAAGCAGGAACACGCTTGGGAGGGCTTTTTTTCCCTCCCACTTGGGAGGGCTTCTGTCGAAGGGTTTTGGCTCTCGGTAAGCTTTCGCATATAAGGCTCTGTGGGACTGGTGAAACTTTTCAAAATTTCAGAGTAGAGTGATCCGTGGCGGCGGCTCAGAGAGCGTCTTGCTGCTGCGCCCAGCGTCATCCATTCGCACCATCCTTTTGACTGGCCATGAAATCGTCCTCGTAGCTCGGATTCAATGAGATGAAGCTGGTTCTCTGCTGGGTTTCAGAGCCACGCCGAGCTCGTCGACGTGCAGCAAAAGTTGCAAAAAGCCCTTCTGGTTGTGGGCGCTCATTTGCTCCATTGAACGCAGGAACTTCTACTGCAGGAGTCACACATGCCAATGCGCTGAGCTGCAGCTGTGATGGAAATCGAGCCCTGTTTGACGAACGGCGAGGGAGCTCAGCTGGCGGAGGAGTGCCTTCTTCGTTTGTGACGCTTTGAGCATCTGCTCGTGTTGCACGGCGGGTCGGCGTCACCTCGACTGTGTCGTCCTTCTTCTGCGAGGTTCCACGACGTCCTTGTGCGTCGACATCGAAACCACGCTCGATACAGTCTGGACAAAACCAGGCTCCTCGTGGTACTTCTTGGAGCCCAACACAAGCTACATGAAACGTGGCATTGCAGGTGCCGTGCATGCCGTCGCACAGCAGCAGCTGGCTCTCGTCACCAACTTGATGGCACATCTCGCAGACCGAGATCTCTTCGAATGCTTCGTCCTCCTGCTCCTCTTGGTCTCTACTTTCGATTCTTGTCAACGAAGTCCTGTTACAACTTTCATCGTAAGCTGCCAGCCAGAAGAATCGGGTCTTGCACTGCGGGCAGCTGTTTTCAGTCTCCGACCACTTTTCGACACAGCTGTGATGGAAGAGATGCGTGCAGTTGTCGATTGCTCCCACCTGCGCGTCAGACTCGATCGGCAGCAAGCAAGCACCGCAAACTTTATCTCCCTTGCCACGGCCGGATCTGACAAAGGCTGGCGCTGAGGCGGTCAGGACATCACGCTCCACTATGCGCTGAGACCTTGCTCGTGTGCTGAGCTTCCTCTTTTTCGGCGCCATGCTGTCTCGGCATTCACTTCGCGAAGGATCACTCTGTACCCCGGTATCAACCGGTTTGTTCGTTAATGTCGATGACTGCGCATGAAGCCTCCTCTGCGAGCATCTTATTTTGCGATGCTTCGGCGACGTCTAGCGACACGTCTTTGAAATTTACGTTGGTTGTTTTATGCGGTCAGATGTTAGGGAGAAGCATACACTCTCTGCTAGTCTCTCGAGCCAATAGCTGTAATAGCGATCTCGGGCACGCACGGTCCGCGAAATCCCTCGGTTATGCAGTGAATGGCAAACGCCGCCTCGAAATGAACGCTCCCATCCTCCGGGGATACAGCAAGTGCTTCCGGCAAGTGCCAAATTCTGAACTCTATACCTGATCTCTGCAACCGGGATAGGATGTGACCCCGATCGCCCCTAAGCAATCGTTGCAGGAGACGTTACAGTAAAAAACAACTCAGGCCAATCCCTATTTCTCAGGCCAGCTGCAGCTCAGCCATGAACTCCGTGCTGCTGCCTGGCCTCCTTTCAAGGAGCTTCTCTATTGCAAACATGCTCAAACGCCAGGATCGATCTAGGGTGTAGGGCTACACATATCCACTTGATTTACAGGATGCTTACGGTTGACTGAACAAGTCAAGAGGAAGGCTAAAGGCTGACTCACCAGCTCCAGAGAACCCTTCGAAACACTATATCTCAGAATGAGCGACCCCAGCGCGCGAACGCGAACGGCGAACCCGCCAAACGCACGAGCTTCCGGGCCGGGGGCCTGAGTTTAGAACGCGCTTCTGAACGCGCGATGAGTTGGGAACGCTGAACGGGCACGCGCCCCCGAACGCGAGTTCGGGGATCACTAAGTATCTCAAATGCCAAGGGTTGAAGATCTGGAAGAGCGGTTCTGAACTGGGGTTACGCGCTGCTTCGACGAGGTGCACGGATCTAGGTCTGAGTACTCTCCCTATCCCTGCAGCGTGAACGTTTGAGAGTCTTGGTGGAGGATCTCCGCCTGCGGTGACGGAAGGAGCCCACCCTTCCCTCAAACTTCACCCAGAGAACAATTGTCCCGAAACCCCGGCTGAGGAAAACCTTCCAGCCCAAGTTGCCCATCGACGAAAAGCAGGCGGTGTCTAGGCTTCACCTGCAGCGCATCTTGGAATTAAGTACTTTCCGTTGCTTTCGTGCATGAGCAGTCTTCCTACACTCCGCGTCGGCTCTACGCTTCTGGCCGTGGGCGGCCTCCTTGCGGATTTGGATAGACTTCGGACCAAGAGCTTAATGACGGGTAGGTCCGCCGTACTCGAAAGCACCGGTTCAAGGCAGCCGAAGCTGAGTTCATCTCATCGTCAAGCCCGAAACCCGACAACCCCAAACCACAATCAAGCCCAGCTCTGGCCGTGTGGGCTAGGTTAGGTACCTACTGGGTTTGCAAGGTTGACAGAAGAAGGAAGGAGTTTACACTTCAGTGCTGAGCACTTTTTACTGTCAGTGATGCACTGCCTTCCCAGCACGCCTCCAAAGGTGTCATTTAGGGAAATGTAGCGGCCTTAATCATCAAAATAGGGTTCTGGTGTGTACGTATATGGTATATTTTTAACCGGGAGCCATACGGACTACTATGACATGCTAGTTCTCGTTGCTCAAGCCCCTATGTTACCTTACCTGGAGCCCCTCATCGCCTGGCTGTAACTAACGTGCTAGTCACGGTCCTCAACAAAGGCTTCCCGTGCCCAGCCCAGGCTCCGAATTCACTCGCGTTTGTTAACGCCACTACGATGGGTCGCCTCAAGTACTACAAACCTATATCTTTGTGGGCTGTGCGTAGAATTACAAACCACAAACCGAG